TGGGAACTAATGTCAATTTTGAAAGAAATCTGCTTTGATGTGGATAAGAATCCAAAAACCTTTGTGCCTGTAGGCAGTAGACCAGCTGCCACACTACCCCAGCTCCCATGTTGCTTTTTTTAAAATTTAAAAATAGAGGTCTTCTTCCTATTCTTCTTGTTCAGCAAGAATGGGTGAGGAACATAACTAACCCTCACAGTCATGGCCTGGCATGTGTGAAGGCATAGCATATGTGAAGACCTGGCATGTGTGAAGACCTGGCATGTGTGAAGGCCTAGCACTTTTTACCCAGTGACAGTGTCTGCTGTGGTATTTTAACTACGATTACTCTGGTAATGTTGAATATAGCAGTCATGAGTGGCCCAAGACTCTGCCTTAATAAATCATCAATAAAATACAATTGGCAGTGATCCGCGGGCCACTTGCTGGGCCTCAGAGGTCAGATTCTGCCTGCAGACCGCCAGTTGAATCGTCATGATATATGATGTACCCGTATTTTCTTGCGTCAAACTGCATTGCATTTGTTTCTGTGATTTTTACATTTTTCGCCTTATAGCTAGCTATATTTGCTGTTTCTTCATTCTCTGCAACGTGTGTACTCTTTTCTAGTGTTGATTGAATGTGGAGAATAGGTAGCGGAGATGGGGTTTCTGTTAGTACAACTGCAGAGACCTTATACTTCCAGAGTAACTAACAGTGATTGCCTGCTTCATGCTAAATGAGCAGTCTGGGTGTTGTGAAGGGTGTTACAGCAGAGGAAGCTATCATAGTCATCAGAAGAGAGCAGTCTGCATTCTTTGATTCAATCAGCAGGAGATGGAGTCATAGATTCTTGTAATGGCTGATTTGTACAAAACTGGTATAATGCAGTGGAAATTATACAGGCTATTGATGAACAGTGGGATATATTGCATAAGCCAATTCAGATATATCAAAAAAGACAATCCGACCAACCCATAGAGTTGTAAAAAAGAAATGGATGTCAACCAAAATTCTGCAGGTGATGGTTGAAAGAAGGAAGAAAAAAAGAATGATACACAATAGTACTCTAGAATAGAAAAAGAAATAGTAAACAAATGCAAAGTGGCTAAAGAAGCCTGGCTGAATCAAATGTGTACAGAGGTTGGGGAAAATCACTGGAAAGACTCACATTTCATGTACCAACAGATAATATGTTAACAGGAATATGGCACGTAACAGCTCTGGATGTTTACAATCAAAAGATGGCGACTTATTAATGGGACATAGTAACATAATTAACAGCTGGACAGAGTATATAGAGGAATTGTATGATGATAATAGACGGGATGTAGAACTGCAGACCAACAATGATGGTCCACTAATAACGACTGCAGAAGTTGAGGTTGCAATACATCATATGAAGAAAGGAAAAGCACCCGAGCCAGACAACATCTCACTGGAAGAAATCGAAACGCACTGGGAGATTTTGGAATTGAAATAATATCTAATCTTCTAAATGATATTTATAATAGTGGGTACATTCCAAATGACCTTTTTAAGTCCTTATTTATAGCTCTGCCACTTTATAAGTCTTATGAGTCACATGACTAAGATTTTACTGAGAATAATTATGAGAAGAATAAGAAATGAAATTAAACCAGAAATCAGCAATGAACAGTGCGGATTTGTAGAAGGAAAAGGTACAAACAATGCCATTTACATCCTAAGGACATTGTCAGAAAGAGCTGTAGAAGTAAAGACTGATTTGTACTTATGCTTCATAGACTATACAAAAGCATTTGACTGTGTAAAACATGAAGTAGTAATCAGACTATTAGAAAACTTAAAAATAATAAAGAATATTTATTTGCAGCAAACAGCAGCTATAAGAATTAACAACTGTTTAGATACATTTCAATGCATTAAGAGGGGCGTACGACAAGGATGTGTACTGTCACCTGATTTATTTTCACCATATGGTGAATATAAGGAGATCTTTAATTGATATGCCCAGAATTGGGGTTGGTGGGCAAAATATAAACAATTTATGTAATGCTGATGAAAAAATAAAACTGGCCAAAAATAGTGTGAAAAAATATCTAGTGAGATGAGTAATACATTTTAGAAACTTTGAATCATCTATATGTAAATGACACAAAAACCTGGACAGTAAAAACATTTTAACATTTCGAGGCACAAGCAACACATTAAAATGAGAATTGTCAAATATTATGTTCATTCAATAAGTATTCAGTGGCACATAAACATGAACAGTCAGTAAGTATTTTGAAAGTTCAGATTGAAATCCAGGAGATGTGGTTATACAGATGAATTCGTTTAACTCATGGAAATAAAGGTCATCAAATGTAGAAGTTCTAGAGCAAAAGGAATGGATATAGAACTGATGAATGAATAAACTATTTTAGCCAAAATAAAGGACATGACACTTATAAAAACTGTAAGGAAGAGTTGAAAGCAGAAAGAGCATGAAGTGAACAGTAGTACATGTGGGTGGATAAGATCAAGAGAAGTATTAACATTAGAATCTGCAACCAGGACTAGAGACAATGTTGGCATTGTGGAGACTGTGCCTGTTTGATTGACAGCTCTTTAAAATTAAATATCTGTACAAAATAAACAACACCAAATACATACATTTATCAGCTGACAGAGAAGATAAAAAAGTCACGATTCCCCACATGGGTTCTGTGGTCCCATTTTGTTGTAGAGCAAAGAGTAGACCTACTCCACTGCCCTTCAACAATTGCATCGTACATGATGAAGAACTAAGGGCTTGCTGACTTTGGATGTGGTCGGCTGAATGGTGCAGATCTCTCTACCTAGCTGTAAACCAGAACATGACATGCCAATCGCCATTTTAAGCATAAACTTTAAATAAGAAGAAAAAGAAAGAGTTGTGATTGCCAGTGTCTGCTCCAGATCAGTTAAGAAAACGACAGCTCTTATGATGTGCACATTCATAATGTATTCTATTCATATATATTACCTACTTTTCTAATCTTATATAGTTACCTTCTTAATATATCACAACCCATAGATTCAAATTTATGTCATTTTCTAACTGGTGTTTTGGAGTAGCACATTCTTAAAACACAAAAATTGAGGACCCTTTCACGTTATTTCAGATGTATTGGGTATATATCACTAGACCTTATTTTTATACACCAGTTGGTCCTTGGTGTATGATGTGGTCAGCATCTCTCCTTGGTGGGTGATGTGGTCAGCATCACTCCTTGGTGGGTGATGTGGTCAGCATCTCTCCTTGGTGGGTGATGTGGTCAGCATCTCTCCTTGGTGGTTGATGTGGTCATCATCTCTCCTTGGTGGGTGATGTGGTCAGCATCTCTCCTTGGTGGTTGATGTGGTCAGCATCTCTCCTTGGTGGGTGATGTGGTCAGCATCTCTCCTTGGTGGGTGATGTGGTCAGCATCTCTCCTTGGTGGTTGATGTGGTCAGCATCTCTCCTTGGTGGGTGATGTGGTCAGCATCACTCCTTGGTGGGTGATGTGGTCAGCATCTCTCCTTGGTGGGTGATGTGGTCAGCATCACTCCTTGGTGGTTGATGTGGTCAGCATCTCTCCTTGGTGGGTGATGTGGTCAGCATCTCTCCTTGGTGGTTGATGTGGTCAGCATCACTCCTTGGTGGTTGATGTGGTCAGCATCTCTCCTTGGTGGGTGATGTGGTCAGCATCTCTCCTTGGTGGTGTGGTCAGCATCTCTCCTTGGGTGGTGGGTGATGTGGTCAGCATCACTCCTTGGTGGTTGATGTGGTCAGCATCACTCCTTGGTGGGTGATGTGGTCAGCATCTCTCCTTGGTGGTTGATGTGGTCAGCATCACTCCTTGGTGGTTGATGTGGTCAGCATCACTCCTTGGTGTGTGATGTGGTCAGCATCTCTCCTTGGTGTGTGATGTGGTCAGCATCACTCCTTGGTGTGTGATGTGGTCAGCATCACTCCCTGGTGGGTGATGTGGTCAGCATCACTCCTTGGTGTGTGATGTGGTCAGCATCTCTCCTTGGTGGGTGATGTGGTCAGCATCACTCCTTAGTGGTTGATGTGGTCAGCATCTCTCCTTGGTGGGTGATGTGGTCAGCATCACTCCTTGATGGTTGATGTGGTCAGCATCTCTCCTTGGTGGGTGATGTGGTCAGCATCTCTCCTTGGTGGTTGATGTGGTCAGCATCACTCCTTGGTGGGTGATGTGGTCAGCATCTCTCCTTGGTGGTTGATGTGGTCAGCATCACTCCTTGGTGGTTGATGTGGTCAGCATCTCTCCTTGGTGGTTGATGTGGTCAGCATCACTCCTTGGTGGTTGATGTGGTCAGCATCACTCCCTGGTTGGTGATGTGGTCATCATCTCTCCTTGGTGGGTGATGTGGTCATCATCACTCCCTGGTTGGTGATGTGGTCATCATCACTCCCTGGTTGGTGATGTGGTCAGCATCACTCCTTAGTGGTTGATGTGGTCAGCATCACTCCTTGGTGGTTGATGTGGTCAGCATCACTCCCTGGTGGGTGATGTGGTCAGCATCACTCCTTCGTGGTTGATGTGGTCAGCATCACTCCTTGGTGGGTGATGTGGTCATCATCTCTCCTTGGTGGGTGATGTGGTCAGCATCGCTCCCTGGTGGGGGAATCTCCCCGTGTGGGTTCCGGGGTCCTATTGAACAGACCCACTGCCTCCCCAACAGACATGTAGTAAAAGTCGACTAATTGGGAGCTTACTTTAAAGTCAGAGTGCCTCTGCCTGGGAAGCAAGGAGCCAACAGTCTGCATACATGTAATTCAGATCTGTAAAACGGATGGGCATGCAACAAAATTCTGGTACAAATCTAAAATCCAGAGGTGGATGAACAAGGAGCACTTTTAAAGAGGATCATGGCAGGTCTAAGATACAAGGCTGGGTAAACTATAGACACTTGTTGTTTTCTCATGACCTGTTTTTCTCACCCTGCTATGCAGAGAGTCCTATGTTTGTGAATGTGTTTAATTCAACTTTTTTGTATTGTTTAAACAGGAACTTGGTTGAAAGGCGTGGATCCTAGAGGTATGTGTTAAAAAACAGTTTGATTTACAATTCATAAACCATTCTTTTTTTTCACTGTGAATGTGTGCGTGTTTTTCAGTTTTGTTAAAAAGTGTAGTTCTTGTTAAACTTCTTTGACTGCTGTTTTAAATGTTATTATTAATAGTTTCTGTAACAAAATCAGAAACTATTTTTCTGCATATGAATTATTGATGTTCTGTTCTGGATCACTTCGTTGCTATTTGTGAATTCATATTTTATATCATTTCGTGAAATATTTGTAAGGCTTTTCTTCCTTGGTTGGAACATGATTAGTGGTTGACTAGTTCTGTGTTGTTTCACATTGGCATAAATATGTCTGTGTTCTCACATTGCATGTGGTGCTGTTTAAGCACAGTTGTATAAGGTATGTACACATTGACTCACTATGCTGTTTTGTATTGTTGGTTGTGTCTCACAAGGAACGTAACATACTGGCAAGGAATCAAAATACATATTTCACTTCATTGCACAAAACAAAATACAAGTTCTTTTTTAAGCCCAGAAATGTAACTCACTAGTTGCAACATTCTCAGGCAAGACCATGTTTCATACTGTTGCTAAAATGATAACAAATAAGCAGTAGTAACCCATATCTTTCAGCTTAAAAAAAAAATCTGAACGATTCCACAAATTTTTCATCATATGGCTTTACTAGGCGTTAACAAAAATAGTTTGTTGTTGTTTCAATGCTCATGTGTTTTAAAAAAAATAACAAAAAGCGACCTGCAGCCAAATCACCTAAACCTGACTTCAAATCATGATATCGCAGAACTATGGAACTGTATTCTCAACCGCTAAGCAGCAGAACAACCAATAAATGTCTTTTTTGTGCTCACAAATTATAGATGAAATTATAAGAATGACCGAATAAAACGACAGCTGTGGAGGTCAGCAAAGGGAAATACACACAAACAACTAGCAAACATTAGACCAGGCTGTAGTAGATATGATCAACAAACGTACCTGCAGAACTGTTATACTGCATTCTTCATAGATTCATTTGATGTCTGTGTGCATTTACATTTTTGAAGCTTTCCCCCTTCTTTTTCCCTCAGTCATTCTTCATATCAGCTTCAGAACGGTCTCTTCCTAATTGCAGTACCCATAGATAAATTATCAGCCCATTACGGGTCAAACATTGGATGTAATAAATCTGGCATAAAAAGTAAAGTAAAGGTCCCTTTTCCACGCCTTTTGGCGTATAGGGCATATAGGGCTAGACCTATATTTTATAGACCAATCGGCACATGATAGGTGATGTGGTCAGTATCACGTCGGCCGCCTTTACTTCCCGGGACTGCACCCAAGGCTGGGTCGATCTGCGAGCCAATGTCATTTTATTTTTAAAAGTCTGGCTCCGCCAGAGAGCGAACCCACGACCTTCCGACCCGCATCTGCGTCTAGCCGCTCTGCCACGGCAACTCCCTAAATCTGGCTTTTATTGTGAGCACCCGTGGTGTAGCGGCTAGACGCTCAACTGCGGATCTGAAGGTCGTAAGTTCAAGTCCTGATAGAGCTGGACTTTTTTTTCTTCTTCCAGAAATGACCTTGGCTGAAAGGTCAACTCAGCCTTAAGTGCGTGCCAGGTAAAGTCCTGGAAAGTAAAGGTGGCTGGCATGATGTTGACCACATCACCCACCGAATGTCGATTGGTCTATAAAATATAGGTCTAGCCCTATATGCCTAATTTGGTGTGGAACTGAGTCCCTTACTCTACTTATAGGGTTTTGTTATTCCGGTTATTAATGAGCTAAAATTGAGCTTTTAATATGTAGGCTGTTTAACCACTACATTTTAGTGTGTAAAATACTTTAAACCTAATCTTGGCAAATCTTTGACTGCATAGACTGTTATCTAGTCTCACATTACTATTGTTTAGTTTGTTTTAAGCCAAACTTTCAAAATCTTTTTATGTTTAGTCTATTTAAATCCAGTCTTTTTTTTTTAATGTATAGACTACCTAAACATAACCTTCCAGAATCTTTTACTGCCCAGACTATTTGTATCTTTTGAGAATAAACTGAACCCAATATTACATTATCTTAAAAAGCAGTGTTCTTCAACATTTTTACACTGCAGACTGGCAAAATAGTTTTAAAAACAAATTGCTGACTTCTTCTGCCTTTCTAGCCCCCAGCGGAGCATATGCCCTCAACCAGATCAACCCAAGTCGTTCTATCTTTTGCTATTGCCTGCAGCTCTCCCTATGTCCTCCCCATCTTTCTAACTTTATTCTTCAGCTCCCTTCTTCTTGTGTTTTATGGCCTTCTTTTATTCGTACACCCCTGTGAGTTCTAGTGCACCGAAATTCTAGTTATATTGTTCTCCCGTTTTCTCAATGTGTGTCCTATCTAACGCCATCGTCTTCTCTTCACCTCTTGGTCCACTGGAGCTTGCTTAGCTCTCTCCCAAAACTCTGCATTAGTGATTCCATCATACCATTTATCTCCCTCTAATATGCGAAGGCACCAGTTAGTGAATGTCTGTAGCATATTAGTTACTGCGTTAGTTATTCTCTCTGTTTCCAATCCATACAAAAGTACTGTTTTGACATTATAATTAAAACATAGTCTGTTTGAAGCCAAGCTTACAAAATCTTTTAATGTTTAATCTAATTAAATCCAGTCTTGTTTATTTTAACGTATGGACTATTTAAACATAACCTTACTGTATCTTTTACAGCCCAGACTATTTGTTACTTTTGAGAATAAACTGAACCCAATTTTACCTTATCTTTTATAGCAGTGTTCTTCAACATTTTTACACTGCAGACTGGAAAAAAAAATAGGGAAAACATTTTGCTGACTGGCTGATAGATAAGATAGTAACAAAAACAAATAAAAGATTTTAGCCAATGTTTGAATGTTGAATTAAGAATCGACATCATAGCACTCTTGGCACCCCCATAAGCGCTCCGTCCCCATCTTCAGCAGTATGTGAAGTAAACTAGTGTAAAGCTAATGTGAAATATGCTTCTGCCGAGAAGTTTTGAAAATCTGATGTACTTGGCTGGAGTGTAGTTTCTGAGAGACAAAGCACAGCAATAACACCCATTCGATTTCTTTGTTAAGTTTTTATTACTGACATGGCTAAAATAGCCGGTTCAAATGGGAATTTGAAAAACAGCCAAAAACTTAGTAACTTTGTAACTCAGATATGAATATTCACTTGCTCATCAGTATCATTAAGTGTTTGAAATATGTAGCCGCGACATGGTTAGGCAGAAATATTTGGTGGCTACCAGAAAATCTTTCCAGATGGCACCATTCTACACATCACAGGCACCATTCGGCACATCAAAGAACTGGGAAGGACTGCCACCATTCGGCACATCACAGGCACCATTCTGCACATCAAAGAACTGGGAAGGACTGCCACCATTCAGCACATCACAGACACCATTCGGCACATCAAAGAAGAGGGAAGGACTGCCACCATTCGGCACATCAAAGAAGAGGGAAGGACTGCCACCATTCGGCACATCAAAGAAGAGGGAAGGACTGCCACCATTCGGCACATCACAGGCACCATTCGGCACATCAAAGAAGAGGGAAGGACTGCCACCATTCGGCACATCAAAGAAGAGGGAAGGACTGCCACCATTCGACACATCACTGAGTGAAGAACAATGATTTAAAATATAGACTATTTAAACCGAATTTTACGTTATATTTTTTTTATAAAAATTGTAACAAATTTTAATAAGTACGAATATTAATGTATCAACTATTAACTTAAATCTTACAGTATTTTAATCTGCAATATGGATATGTTATTTATCTATTCTATTTTATTCTAGTTTGCAGTCTATAAATCACATATATCAGTGGAGCTGTCAGAATTTTATGATTTGTTACCATACTCAGATAAACATAATTGGTTTTTATTACACTGTTATATGCACACAAACTGCACTAACATATGTATATGTATTTATTGTAATAGATTGTAGTTTTAGATATTTTTGGTTGTTTTTATAACTAATATGTTAGTGCTATGATTGTGACAAACATACACACATCGGTATACATGCACATAACCTGCCTAAACACACATGCACAGAATGCACACACGTGTTCACTTACATACATATGTACATACTTAGGTATGTTACATACATATGTACATACACTCACATATACACACTTTCACTCACACATGCATAGACTCTTGTGCAAACACACACAGACACTCCGACAACCACTCTGTCATTGTTTTGCTGTGCTGGGATGTCATTGATAGCAAAGCATAAGTGATGGTACTATAACTTCTCTAAAGCACACATCTCTACATACATACATACATACATACATACATACATACATACATACATACATACATACATACATACATACATACATACATACATACATACATACATACATACATACACAAACACACACACCCAGAAGTACTCACATGTACATTCACACTTGCACACACATGAACACACCAACAACAACTGGTTTCCTGCACTAGGTTATCAATGATAGAAAATCATATATGACAGTAATCTACATTCTCTGAGGACAAAATACATTTACTTAAACAGCATCCACCATTGTACGAGCTCCCCAAGTGGGTTATGTATTCCATTTTGTAGGGGGATGAGTGTGGGAGGCCCACTGCTCCCTAACAAAGATGTCAAAAATGGTGAATAATTAAAGATTTGCTTAAATTGGTTGTCTTGGTCTGAGTGGTGCAGATATCACAGTCTAGCTGTAAACTGTAACACCACCTTCCATTTTATGGGGTCAGTTCATTGTAATGGTGTGTCAGCTGAGGGGATTTATGGGTAATCGAGGGGTCATGACATATGATACAGTGGGATAATTGTGGCAGAGGAGGCGAGTGTTGTGTCTCGGGATTAGGTACCGGTGGCAAAGTGTTTTTTTCAATAGCTAGGCTCAGTATGTGGGTGGTCTGATATATGTGTGGCTTAATTATTCTTTGTTTATCTTTGGTGGGTGTGGCTTATT